CCCACTCGCCAAAGGCCCCTTCCCACCACCTCCACCCCTGGCTGCCCCTCTTCCCCCCTCAGCACCTCATGGTCCTGCCCTCCCCACCAAGAGAAAGACAGTAAAACTCTTCTGGCGTGAGCTGAAGCTGGGTGGGGGCCATGGGGGAACTGGAAGCCACTTTGGACCCTGCCCCACCCTGTGGGCCTCACTAGAGCCTGTCTCAGTGGACACAGCCCGGCTGGAACACCTGTTTGAGTCCCGTGCCAAGGATGTGCTGCCCTCCAAGGTAAACCCCACTGATCTGCAAGGCAGCCCCAGTGGAGGCAAGAGAAAATCAGAACTCAAAGGTCTGAGCTGTCACAGCTAGTTACTCATTTCCTACATGGGGAAACCAAGGTAGGGACTTGTCTGAGGTCTAACAAGGAATCATCAGCGTCCTAACTAGAATCTAATCTCATCCGAATGCTTTACACATCCCAGATCCCCAGTTGCGGGACCATTTGGCCATTTAGAGGAGATCCTTGGAGTATCCTCTTAGATTGTTGCCCCAGCTAGTCCCTTCCTCAATCTTAATACTACCCTTCCCCTAACCTTGCAGAAAGCTGGTGAGGGCCGCCGGACAATGACTACAGTGCTGGACCCCAAGCGCAGCAATGCCATCAACATTGGCCTAACCACTCTGCCACCCGTGCATGTCATTAAGGCTGCCCTGCTCAATTTTGATGAATTTGCTGTCAGCAAGGATGGCATTGAGGTGGTGATACCCAGCTATGAGTGTGGGAGGTGGGAGGTCTGGCCCTCTCCTTTGATCAGTGAGCATCTGCTGTCCCTCCAGAAGTGGGTCTGGGCTTGGCATTTCTGCAGGGCAGTCCTTAGACCCTGGGGTTCTCCCAAATGACCTAGGGTGAGGTTAAGACCAATGCCTGAGGCCTCAGGCCTGCACTGAGGGCCCACGTGGGGCCATGGCTACATCTTCAGAAACTACTGACCATGATGCCCACGGAGGAAGAACAGCAGAAGATCGAGGAAGCCCAGTTGGCCAGCCCTGACATACCCCTGGGCCCAGCCGAGAATTTCCTGATGACTCTTGCTTCCATTGGGGGCCTCGCTGCTCGTCTACAACTCTGGGCCTTCAAGCTGGACTATGACAGCATGGAGCGGGTACCTGAGTTATGGAGTGGGACAGGCAGTGGGAACAAGGGAGCATGATAACCATGTAGTCTGAGAGTCCTTGGTCCCTCATACCAGGAAATTGCTGAGCCATTGTTTGACCTGAAAGTGGGCATGGAGCAGCTGGTACAGAATGCCACCTTCCGCTGCATCCTGGCTACACTGCTAGCCGTGGGCAACTTCCTCAATGGTTCCCAGGTGAGTGAGAGCATATGGGGACTGGACATCAGGGCTCTGGAGCCATCCAAGCCCAGACTCAGACAGGGTCTTTTCAGAGCAGCGGCTTTGAGCTGAGCTACCTGGAGAAGGTGTCAGAGGTGAAAGACACAGTACGTCGGCAGTCACTGCTACACCACCTCTGTTCCCTGGTGCTCCAGACCCAGCCTGATTCCTCTGACCTTTACTCAGAAATTCCTGCTCTGACCCGCTGTGCCAAGGTTAGCACCTGCTAGAAATTCCACCAAGACTAGATGAGGGCTTGCTCAGGCTAGAGGTGTATGGGCTATGTCCTCTTCCAAACGTTCTTTCCTCTATTGGCCTGGCCACACCTACTGTCCTCGCATCTGCGTTTAGCACCCACTTCCTCCAAGAAATTTCTTTGTTCTCCGTTGGATCAAATGGACTTATCTGTCTCTGGCATTAGATTGTGAGCTTTTAGAGACGGGCCAGGTCTCAGCTGTATCCCTAGGGCCCAGACTGGCTAGCCTGGCATAGAGGCAGCCTAAGGCAGGGTCTTGTCTATGAGGGACAGCAGGTGTATCCCCCTTGCTTTTCCAGGTAGACTTTGAGCAGCTGACTGAGAATTTGGGGCAGCTGGAGCGCCGAAGCCGGGCAGCTGAAGAGAGTCTGCGGAGTTTGGCCAAACATGAGCTAGCCCCAGCCCTGCGTGCCCGCCTCACCCACTTCCTGGCCCAGTGTGCCCGCCGTGTTACCATGCTGAGAGTAGTACACCGCCGTGTCTGCAACAGGTAGGGGCATGGGCCAGAGAGACGGGACTGCCACCACCCTCCCTCAAACACCAAGCAGGATTTACCATCCTTCCCCACTCCAACCTGCCTAGGTTCCATGCCTTCCTGCTCTACCTGGGCTACACCCCACAGGCAGCCCGTGAAGTACGCATCATGCAGTTCTGCCACACACTGCGGGAGTTTGCACTTGAATATCGGACTTGCCGGGAACGGGTGCTACACCAGCAGCAGAAGCGGGCCACGTACCGTGAGCGCAACAAGACCCGGGGACGCATGATCACTGAGGTGGATGACCTTCCAAGGTCTTGATCTTGACTGCCACCCCCACAGTTTCCTTCCTCTACTCCCAGCTCACTTTTCTTCCCTCTCCAGACAGAGAAATTCTCAGGCGTGGCTGGGGAAGCCCCCAGCAACCCAGCTGTCCCAGTGGCTGTGAGCAGTGGGCCAGGCCAGGGTGATGCTGACAGTCATGCCAGTATGAAGACTCTGCTGACCAGCAGGCCTGAGGAAACCACACACAACCGCCGCAGCAGAGGTGAGATCCATGGCCACTGGAGGGAATGGGCTCTAAGGCCACTGTGGTCTGATCTCTATCTGACCTCCCTCAGGAATGATCCAGAGTGGCTCTCCAATCATGCCCACGGCAGTGGGGCCCTCCACTGCACCCACAGAAGAACTTCCAGCCTCCAGTTTACCCAGTGACACATCAGATGAGATCATGGACCTGCTGGTGCAGTCAGTGACCAAGAGCAGTCCTCGTGCCTCAGCTGCTAGGGAACGCAAGCGTTCCCGTGGCAATCGCAAGTCCTGTGAGTAACCCCCACAAGCCCACTGCCTGCCTTAACTCTTGCAAGCCTCTCCAACCTTGCTCTGTTCTTGCAGTGAGACGGACATTGAAGAGTGGGCTTGGAGATGATCTGGTGCAGGCACTGGGACTGAGTAAGGGTCCTGGCCTGGAAGTGTGAAGGTGTTGCCTCCTGGAAATCTGTCTAGACTCCAGCCTGCTGTGCTGAGTGAGGAGGGCCCAGAACAGAATTCTGCTCCCAGATCTCTATGACCAGGGGCCAGAGCCTCAAGCAGTATTAGCTGTGTATGTGTGCATGTGTGTGTGTATGCTTGTACTCATGTGTGAACTCCCTTAACTCATGGAGCAAAATAAAGTTTTCCTAGCTAATCCACCAGGGTTTTTCTTCTTTCAGGTCCCGACAAGGCTAGGTCTGTAGCAGGAAGGAAATCCCACAGGACTAGCACTTCTTGTCTCATTCTTCATCACCCACACAGCCATTAGCCACATTCCACGTCATTTATTCAGCAGCCCTATACCTCAGACTGCTTTGGGTCCCTGAACTAGGCCCTCAATGCTCCAGGCAATGGGGCCATGCAGCCTGATGGAGCCACCCAGAGCCCAGCAGCCTATGGCCACAATGTCAATAGTTATAACCGCTTCATCTGCCGCCGCTCCTGTCGGCGCTGCCTTTTCTCATTGTGTTCTGGTGTTGGGGTGCCACTGTCTGCTGTGAACCAGGGGCCCAGCACATTCACCCACAGGAGGTAAAGGGCCCGGCCAGGAGCCTAGAAGAGAAATGATAACTTGAAGCCAGGTGCAGGGAATAAGAAATGCGGAGGGTCAGATGTCCCTTCTTGGGAGTCCCCAAGCCCACGCACCAGAAGCCAGAAGAACCAGATGTAGAGAGAGAAGCAGCTGAGCACCTGCACGATGGCTGTCAGTAGGATCACATCTTTGAGGTGCCTGTGTATAGAAGGCAGGCTGTCAAAGATAGCAGATGGACCCCACTTCAGCTCCCTTCCACCCTTTTCGAGTTGCAAGTAGCTGCGGTTCTTGGGCTATCTGGGCCCCAGCCCTGGGGCCGCTCACCTGGGCTGGCGGTGGGGGACACTCACTCTGCCATGCCCTGCTCCATGTTGAGGTCCATGCCACCATCCATCAAGGACCCATCCTCAGAGAAAGCTGCCCGTGCCATCGAGCTCATAGAGTGGTAGCTGGCCCCATACACTGCCAGACTAAAGCCCAGGGCCATCTGCAAAGCAAGAATAAGGGTACCAAAGGCCAGTCGCTGACCTTATGCACTCATCTACTTTCCAGGGTGGGGACACTTACCCAGGCCCAAAATGAGGCAGATGAGTAAAAGAAGACCAAGGTCACAAGGCAGTAAATGGCCTGCAAGCAAACACAAGATCAGGCTGGGGTCAAAAAGCTATCCCCAAACCATGGGCACCCCTTAATTATGACCAAGAATTAGGCTATGTTGTGGGAGGAGTCAGGTTGTTCTTACAAGGCTGTGGGGAAGAGTCCTGCTCCTTGAGTTAGGAATACCCAAGTCAGTCCAGGGAGGAAATTCTTGTGTATTTGGGGTTCCACCTGGAAAGTGCTCTCAAATCCATCTTGGACATCCTCCTTTCTTTTTTGTTTATGTTTGCTTTTGCTAGTCAGCACTTTCTCTGTGGCAGGATCTTTTCCTGTTTCCTTTTGATTGGTGCTGTCTGCTGGAGCCTTAGCTGTCATATATACCACCATTCCTCACCAAACCGAGTACTGTGGGACTATAAGTGGGCACAGAAGCAAAGAGACAGGCACTTACATTGGCCCCCAGTATGATTCGCAGGTAGAACTTCAGGGTCTCTCTGTTCTCTTCAAATATCTGCTTTTTCCCTCTTGTGCCCACTTTGCCCTTGGGCTGCAGAGGGAAGATCATATGCTGTCAGAGCCCTTCTCAGCCATGGTCCTCCGCACTCTCCCCACATGCCTGACTACAGAATTCCATCCTCAACCAGGTCCTCGTGGTGCTCAAACCTAGTAAATTCCGAGATGTTCATCCACCCTCCAGTCTATTCTGCCTAGAGCTGACACCACCTTTCCAGCACGCCAGCTATGATCGCCTCTTGCTTGACCTGGACAATCCAGCCCTAGACTAATACCTTCTCTGGCTCCTGTAAAGACTGTACTGGGGCTGATGACCCCTCCAGGGTACTTCTGAGAGTTGAGTGGTGCCCCTCTTAGGCCTCTGCTGGAGTAGTCCAGATCTGGGCTAGTTCACCCACCCCCTTAAGGTCCCTCAAATCTCTGGCCTGCTCTGGTACTGTCTGGTACTGACGCCCAGCCCCTCGGCCACTAGTTCTGGTATGGTCCTGCGCTGCCGTTCCCCGCATCCCCTCGGCTCGCTCTAGGACAGTCTGGCCATCGGAAGGCGCCCCGCTCTGGCCCACTCCACGTCCCTTGACGTCCTTTTTTCTGTTCTCACTCCATCTGGGCCCCGGAGCGCTTTGCCGATGCGGACCCCGCCCTATTCACCCTCCTTACCGCCATGGCACGACGCAAATACCCAGCCGGCGAAACAAGGGAGAACAACCGAAACCGCAGTCAGTAGGCACCACATCGGCAGCACACACACTTCCGGTGCAGACCAAAGTCGTCAGGATCTGGGACGGAAGTGGGGGGCCACTTCCTTCCCGAGCCGCGCCCCCAGGGCCGACGGTACTACATTTCCCAGAAAGCCTTGCGCGGGGGCGGAGGCGGTAGGGATGAGATGGCGGAGTCGCTGCCCCTGGAGGTGAGAGGAAGCTGCCCTCAGGCCTAGCTCCGGACAAGCCCCGACTTCGGGGTGCCGAGCTTTGGGTAGGGGCTGTCAGATAACTAGCCCGGCCCCTACTGCCTGGCGGAAACGACCTGCCCCGCCGACCCCAGGACCTGCAAGCTCTGGGTAACGGTCCGGCTTTTGGGCCACTTTGTCTCTTTAACTTGAAGGACCGTCCCCTTCTTCCCCATCGGCCCCAGCAGATGACCGCCCTGTAACCTCAGTGAGGACAGACCCTCTGCCCATCCCCTCCCTTAAGGTGGCCCGTTACCTCCCCCTCAGTTCTGGAAGTTGTCTGCTCCATCTCATCGTCTGCGAAGGTTAACCAATCTTATTCCCACTGGTCCCTTGGGACTGTCGCTCCATTTTCTCCGCCCTGAAAGAGACAGCAGTCCCCTTCTACCTGGCAATGGGAAGCAGACTGCTTCCTCCCTCATCAACTCCGGGGATGATCTCTGGGGTCCTTTAGCGAGGACAGAATTCCCTAGACCCCTAGTGATGATCACCCCTACCTCTCTCACCCAATGGGATATTTGCTCCTTCCCCTTAGCCAGGGGCAAGACTGCTCTGTCCTAGTCACCAGGAGGTAACAGGTTAGTGGCCTGTTGGAGTGGCTTCTCCATACCTTTTGCCCTGAGGGTTGGCAGTCCCCTCCAGCTGCCCACAGGAGACAGCCACCAGTCCCAGAATGGCGTTCCCTCTCCTTAGCAAAAATAGGCCAGCTGAGTCCCATTGAGTCCCCTGCAGTGGCACCACTTTCCTCCTTGGCCCCAGAAGACGTCTACTCGATCCCTACATCCCATGAATGACTAATTGTATCTCCGGTAGCCCCTTGGGATGGGGTTCATGGGATGGCCATTCCATCCTCATCGCTGCCTCCTCTGGTCCCTCTAGAAAGGCCACCCCCTTCCCAGCTTAATGAATCATGTCCTTCCCTCTCCCACCCCCCAGTGATGACAGGTTTGTTCCCCCCCTCCCTTTGCTCCTTGGGTTGACTGCTCAGCTCCAAAAGACAGGTTGGTCACTGTCTTAGCTTAGACAGGCTTTCCTGCCCTCTCTGAGGGATTGGGGCTTGGTCAGTCCCAGTCCCCATTAGTACTCTCTTCCCCATGCCTAGCCTCCCTGGCCCAGAAGTCTGCTCTCCCAGGCATTCTTTTCTCAGTAATGGTCTGTTTAACTCCTCACCCTTTCCTTGAGCAAACCTGTAGTGAAAACAGAGGTAGAGGACTGAACCGTCCATCCTTAATTTAATCTAGTAAGTATTGGCCTAGCACCTCCTGTGTGCTTGGCATCTCAGAAAGGAAGAAGAGATCAGAATGGACTGGTGAAGTCAAGTTTAAGGAAGGGCATCCCAGGGAAGAGGCCCACATAGGCAAAAGGAAATAGATGTGCTGCATTTGTAGGATAGTAGAGAAACTAGATTGGGGAAGCTCTGGGACCAGTGGGTTCAGACACCTAACAGTGCTGAGCCAGAAATGGAGATTTTGTCCTGAGAATACAGGGGAACCCTGAGGGTATATAGGGGTGAGCTGAAACTGAACACCATTTTGTAGGAAAATTAACCTTGTAACAGTGTGCAGAATTGATTAGCAAGGATGAACTTAGAGGCAAGGAAGTCAGGTGGGAGATTGTGGAAGGAATCCAGGTCTGAGATATTGAAAATCTGAGCTACTAAGGTGGTGAAGTTACAAAGATAGAAATATTAGTAATAGCAATCCAGCAACCATTTACAGAACATCTACTAGTTGTCAAGCATTATACACACACACACATACACACACACACACACACACACACACACACACACACACACACACAAAATTTAATCCCCATATGGCTATGATCTAGATTTTTTTATAGCTATGGAAACTGAAATTCAGAGAGGTCCAGGTACCTTTGCCTGAGTGAGGTCATGTGGCTAGAAAGTAGTGGATTTCTTTTTTTCTTCTTTTTTTTTTTTCCCGAGTTGGAGTCTCACTCTGTCACCCAGGCTGGAGTGCAGTGGCACACTCATGGCCACCCCAGCATCGACCTGCTGGGCTCTGGTGATCCTTCCACCTCAGCCTTCCAAGTAGCTGGAACTACAGGTGTGCGCTACCACACCCGGCTAATTTTTGATTTATTATAGAGACAAAGTCTCGCCAGGTTGCCCAGGTAGGTCTCAAACCCACGGGCTCAGGCAATCCACTCACCTCAGCCTCCCAAAGTGCTGGGATTATAGGCTGAGCCACCGAGCCTGGCTAGTAGTGGATTCCAGTGAGTCTAGGTTAGCCTGGCCTAAAGCCTGTACTTTATACCTGTGATTGGGAGCAAGGGACAGAAGAGTCCAAAGTGTTATCATGTAGGGCATACTGTTGGCATTGAAGGGGGACGTTGGGAGGAAGGACTATTTTGGACTAAGGGCAGAATATGAGTTTTGGTTGAGATTAAAGTGATCATTAAACATTTGACAAATCCAGGGGACAATTGTCAATATTGGACTAGAACTTTGATAACAGAACAATATGGGGATATTCAATTGTTGATTATTCCTGTGTTGGTAAACAGAAACTCAAAAGACCTAGGTCTGAGCCCTGGGAGCCACAGAAGAATCCAGAAATAGGGCGATTGGGTGCTGGGTGAAGCTCTAGAAAACAGGAGGAAAGATTCCAGAAGAACAGACCAGTTAATATAAAATCATTCTGGGTCTCACAGGCCACCCCTTTCCTAGTCCCCTTTAGAGCCTTCAACTTCACCAGCCCTAGACTTACAGAGCACAAGTGGAGGGAAGAACTGGGTCTTGCTGGGTTTGTATCTTAACAGCCAGCTGAGAAGGTGAGTTGGTAGTAGAGAAGATGGGAAAAGAATAGGTCCTAGAGCTTGACCTGTGAGGGCTGGAGGAAGAGGTATGACTTCCTGAAGATCAGAGGAGTACCTGACTTGCTGTGTTCTAGATCTCATGCAAGACACTTTGCTGCTATTTAATTCTCACAACAACCCACTTAAATCACACTACAATTGCCATTTTACAGATAAGAAAAACAAGGCTCAGAGATAGTCAGTTGACAGAGTAGGGATTATAAATATGCTTATTTGGCCCCAATGCTCAGGCTCTTTCTACCCAACTAGGCAGGAAGTCTGATTCTTAATCAGTTAGTGCAAGTCTGTACCCAGTTATGGCTCAGAAAAGATTTGTTCACAGTAAAGATATCTGAAGGCTGGAGAGGGGAAATGAATGCTTCATGAAGCTTCGGATCTAAGATAAAGTAAAAGCCAGTGGTGTGGTGCCCTCAGACCCATGATGCTATCAACTGAAACTGGTTCCAAAGGTACCGAGCTCTAATAGCCCCCAATGCCTTGTCTTCTTCCCTCAGATGCTCACATATATTCTGAGCTTCCTGCCTCTGTCAGATCAGAAAGAGGCCTCCCTTGTGAGTCGAGCTTGGTACTGTGCAGCTCAGAATGCCCTTCGGGAGGTAAGGTGCCCACCCTCACCTGGCCCATTCTCCGTTGTTTCTCACTTCAGCTTGTTCATGACCCTGCTCATATATTATCCATCTATCCCTCTATTCATTCATACATATACATACATATATACATACATTCATACATACTTGGCTCTGCTTACAATGCTGGGCTGTACAGATGAATAGGACATAATCTGCTAAGGAGCTCACAGTCCAGTGAAGGAGAACAAGTAATATGAATGATCATGATAAAATTTGCTCAGTGCTGTGACATTGGAATGAAAGGGTACAATGGGAACGTGAAAAACAATATCAGCCGGGCACAGTGGCTCATGCCTGTAATCCTAGCACTTTGGGAGGCGGAGGCAAAGGGGTTCGATACTGGCCTGGTCAACTTGGTGAGACCTTGTCTCTACAATAAATCAAAAAATTAGCTGGGTGTGGTGGTGCGCGCCTGTGGTCTCAGTTACTTGGAAGGCTGAGGCGGAAGGATCACCTGTGGCCAGCAGGTCAAAGCTGCAGTGGCTGTTAGCATGCCACCGCACTCCAGCCTGGGTGACAAAGTGAGACTCCAACTCAAAGAAAGGAAGGAAGGAAAGAAAGAGAGATAAAGGACATCCTCAGGAAACTGGCAGCATCAGGGAAGGCTTCCTGAAGGAATAGGATGAGGATGAAGATTTGACTTCTAGTTCCAGTAATAGCACAGGCAAAGGCACCAAAGTATGGAATAGTTCTGGAAGCAACCATGCAAGTCCTGTATGACTGAACTGGAAAGTGTGTGGGAGAAGTAGTGGGAGATGAGGCTAGAACAGGGTCAGACTGCAAGCTGGCAGATGTGCCAGGCAGCAGAGCTTAATGATCATCATGTAGCTGTCAGGCAGGCGAGTGACACTGTGTGATTTGTGTCTTAAAACTCCACAGTGCAGAGTGGACTGGAAAGGGTGAGACTGAGGGTAGGACAGCAGCTCAGCTAGGAAGAGAATGCAGACATCTGTGCTTGTTTGAAAGGCAAGCAATAATGGCTCATGTTTTAATTTTGATTTCTTTAATTATTGGTGAGATTGTACAGTTTTTCTCATTATCTCACCCTTTGTATTCCCCTCTTCTTCATGTTCTTTATCCATTTAACTATTAGGGTCTTAGTATTTTTCTTATCCATTTGTATCAACTTTTTATACACTAAAGAAATGAATCCCATATATGTGTATTAAAATATAAAAATATATCCATAGTATGTTTGCCTTTTAATATGATTTATAGATATGTACTTTTATTTATGAGATAATAGGAGTTAAATTTCTGTTTTGATTGTGAACATCCTTTTCATTTTTATTTCTCCCATTGTTTTCAAATTTAAAGATCCCTTGTCCCATCCCATTTTTCTTCTGTTTTGTTTGTTTGTTTGTTTAGAGAAGTTTTAGGTTCACAGCAAAATTGTTTCTTCTGTTTTGTGCTTTAAATTTTTGTATTAATGTTTTTATTGTGAACTTTGTTTTGAGGTAAGAAACTAAACTATTAGTTTTCAAATAGCCCAGAGACCAGTTACATCTCTACTTTCCCTTCCCTGGTGGTTTGGAATCTTCCTCTGTCACATATTAAATGTGCGTATACATGTAGGGTCTGTTGTTCAATTATCTATCCAGTGTCATTGCTCTCACTGTCTAAAGGAATTTTATTTTGGGCTTAATGAAAATTTGAAATGTAAGACATCTAGATGTTGAGATCCAGTTGGTAGTTGTATTTCTGGATGAGGAGTTCAAGAGAAAGGTCTGGGCACTAAATACAGGTTTGGTGTCATTAAAGAATGGGTGGACGTTGAAGCCACAGATCTGAGTAACTTCTCCAGGGAGAACATGAAAAACCATAGGGTCAGAGAATTTCCCCATGGGAGGATACCAGTCCAAGGGCACAGAGAGGAGGAGACATACAAAGAGGGGGCTCAGGAGATCCCAGAGAGAGAAGAGCACAGAGGTCAAAGGCAGGAAAATATTTAAAGGATCTAGTGGGTTCTAGTTCGGCAAAATGAAGAACAAAGAGTTTCCATGAGATATGTCATCCAAGGAGACCACCAATGGCTTTAATGATAAATGATATTTGGCATCTGGGGGGAAAAAGCCAGGTGGATTGAGGAGTGAATGAAAATAAAATATAGAAAGTGACTGCTATACTTTGGCAAGAAGTTCCCCAGGACAGGAAGGAAATAAATAGGGCAGAAATAAGAGATTGAGGTGGGCTTAACAAAGGAATTCTGCTTTGGAGACATCACAAATGTGTTTACATACTTAAGGGAGGGACAGTCACTAGAAGAAGGATGAATGTGGGAGGAGGACAGGGCAAGAATGGTGGATGCCACCTGATGTGGTGGCAAAGACAAACTTCCATATGCAAAGCTTGGTCTTAGATAGGATCGAGAGAATATCACCTCTTTCTTTTTTTACTGTTCTTTTCTTCTTTTTTTGTTTTTCAGTACCAGTTTGGTGAAAAAAGGGTGTCACCTCTTCCTGAGGAAGCAGAGAGGTGGGGTTGGAAACATGGAACTGTTTGCATAGGAAGTTCTTCAGAGGCATCTCCTTCCTTGGTGGCCTCTTTGTTTGGTGAATTTAGAGACCAAATTGTCTTAGAAGAGTAAAAAGAGAGAGCAAGGCCAGGGCTTCAGAAGAGAGGTTTGGAATAGTTACAAGACAGAAGGAAGATGGAAAATTACCAGAGATATACAGAGAGGCTGTGAGAAGTCTTACTCATATGTGCCTATCACCATGCTGGGCACTAGGGAGGCAGAGTTAAGGAAGACACAGTCCTTGATGTAGTGAGAGGGAGACAAACACAAGCAAAAAACGTTTAGGGTGCTGCATTCGATGTTTGTGAAGCATGAGAATGCAGAGGAAAGATTTGGAAAAAACTCCATAAGAGAAAGAGATGCTTGGCCTGAGACTTGAGAGAGAAATAAATATTTGCCAAATAGATAAACAGGAGTATATGAGGGGTGAAAAAGCAGCTGAGCAGAGGCATGGCAGCATAAGAATGGTCAGAAGTGGGCAGTCCCAGAGCTGGGGGTGGGAAGAGGGAGTGGGCATGGGAAGAACTGGATGAAGAAGTAAGCCCAGGTCAGACATAGAAGAGCTGGAATGTGGGCTAGGAAGCATAGAGAACAATCAGAGGGTCATATTTGCTTTTTGGAAGGATAGAGCTTGTGACAGTACCAAGGATGGGTTGGAGCCAGAGAAACTGGAGGGCAGGACTCTGATGAGGAAACTGGTGTGATATGTATATAGTAAGGGGACCTCAGCTAAGGCAGAAGCAGTGAGGTTGGAGCAGAGGGATAGGATTCAATTTATAAAGAAGAAGTGGAAGGGGCTTTGGTCATTGTAGATATGGTGAGTAAGAGAGGATTCTAGGGCGACTCCCAGATTTCTTACTTGGGTAACTAGGTAAAGGGTGCTAAGAGTTTTGGAGAATGGGCAGAGTTAGAGGAATGAAATGATGAATTCAGATTTGGGTGTGTCACATATGTGTTTTCTGGAGAGAGGTCCATCAGGCACTTGGCTCCCAGTGTCTGGTGTCCAGGAAAATGATATGGATCAGAAAGAAGGTAGTTGGAATGATGGTCCCATGGACTGAAGTGCAGTCTGCCAGGGTGTACATGGCAAAGGACAAAGACTTTGTGTGTGTGTGTGTGTCTATTGTCAGGTGAAACAAACCACAGGGAACCCATCCATCTATGGACTGGGTCTCTCTTCTTTGGTGACCCCCAAAAGAGACTGATGGGGAACAGGCTAGAAGGTAGGAAGAGAGCTGGGAGGGCAGAGTTACAGAACTCCCCTTCTCCACAGAGGATGGCATCAAGGATAGTAGCTACTGGCCATGCAGAGCAGGTGGTATGGCAGGGAGGATACTTGCGGGAGGTCTGAATAGAAGCCTCTACCTGTTTGTGACCTTACTGGAGGGGAGCTGTTGCCAGGAATGAGTGATCCTCCGGGGGCCAGGATGGAAGTAAATGGTGAGGGGTAATAGGTGGCTAGACAGCAGGTGTGTGTGCCCAAGTGCTTCCAAGAAGCATGACTGTGGAGGGGAGGGGAAAGATAAGAGGAACAAGAAGAGGGAGTGCAGGATGAAGGGAAACTTTTTGTTGTGGTTTAAGGGTGGGGTGTTTGTGGCCTGGGGTGAGGGGAAGACAGTAGAAAGATAGAAATAGTAGAGTTCTTGGAGAAGGTAGAGGCAGGCTCAGTAGGCCAGGAGAAGGGGGTAACCTGGAGCCAAACAGCAGGAGAGGGGAGCAGGTTAGGATGGGTCCTGCCTAGAGGCAGTTGGTGGACATGAACAGGGGAAAGGGAGGGACTTCCCACCTCCTGGCTTTGGTTCCTTTTCTTTTTTTTTTTTTTTTTTTGAGTTGGAGTCTCACTCTTTCACCCAGACTGGAGTGCAGTGGCCGCTCCCGGCCACCGCAGCCTCGACCTGCTGGGCTCCGGCAATCCTTCTGCCTCAGCCTTCCAAGTAGCTGGAACTACAGGCGCGTGCTACCACGCCTGGCTTATTTTTGATTTATTGTAGAGATGAGGTCTGGCTAAGTTGCCCAGGCGGGTCTCGAACCCGCGGGCTCAGGCAATCCACTCACCTTGGCCTCCCAAAGTGCTGGGATTTCAGACTGAGCCACCGAACCTGGCCTTGGTTCCTTTTTGAAACAGAGCAGATCATATCTGAAAAGGCCAGGGTGATGGGAAGGGTGTAGCAGTAGGGTCATGAGCTAGAAAGATGTTGGGCTTGGAGAGAAATCTTGTGTGGGATGGAAAGGGAGCAGGGAGAGAGGTGGGGAGAAGGCAGGAATGGTGGAGGCCAACATTGGTGCTGGCAGCACCGGTGAGAGAGGAGGAGACCATGACTTCCTTGGCAGAGTTCTGTATCCCCAGTACAACCTCAGAGGAGGTAGTTCATGTCGCCATCCCTGGCTGGGCCAGGAGAATGAGCATAGCAGCATGACAGAGGCAGGGCAACAAGCACCCCGAGGAGAGGTTGTCAAGGGGTGAGAGGCCAGCAAAGAAGGGAAAGGCAGAAGAAGCAATGTAGGCTGCCAGACCCTGGGGTTACAGGTAAGAGTGGAGTGAGAGTGAGGAAATGAGGAAGAAGAAGGAGGCTAGACTCAGAGTTTGGGGTCTTAGAGTATTTGGTTTTAGAGCTGCAGTGACTTCAGCTAACCACAAGCTCCAGAAGGAATATTGATAAAAACCCATTTGGTGCCTTTGCAAAACTTAGCCCCATCCAGGCACAGGGCACCCGGCATCTAGGGCCTGGCCGATACCTCACCACCACTGTGTCCCAGAGAGCAATCTGCAGGACCCTGTTGGCAGGAGCCATCTCCCATGACCCAGATGTGAGCAGACTGTCAAGGAGGAAGTACCCCCAGCCAGTTAGGTGCTATAGAAGATACTTACCAAGGCCACGCTGGGGCCTATGTCTCACCAGTCCAGCCTAAGACATTACCCTTGGGGACTTATTCCCCCTGCTCTGCTCCTGTGGTTCATTTAATCCCAGTTTGTTTCAAATAAGGATGCAGGCAAAGGCAGCGCCCCACGTGTGCCTGGGCTATTCCCATTCCTGGAGGGACCCCTGGTTACCTGCTGCTTGTTGGTCACTCTGAAGCAAGAACTTGTTTCACTTTCTGTCCTCTCCTGCCTGACATATTTATAAAGGCCTGGAGGAGTTTCTGGAAATGACCCATAGGTGTAACTCCTATCCAGAGACCATTGCCCCTGGTGCCAGGGCATACATTTTCCCAATGACCTACTAGAGAAGAACAGGTGTGTTAACTTTGTACAGGTGTGTTATTCCTGTGCCAGTCAGAAAGGAGGTCCATTTTCTCCATCAGGTGACTTTCTAAGACTACACAGGCCTGTAGTCTCAGTCCAGATCTTTACTAGGTACAGCAAAACCCTGGCCTCCTATGGTCAAGGTACATGTGTCATTTTTGGCAGATTCAGGACATTTCCCAAGTGATTTTGCAGTTACTCTTTAGATTCCAGCATTGGGAAAAGAGGAGACCAGGGACTAGGCGGTCCCTCTGTGGATGGGGCAGCTGAAGCTGAAGCAGCTGCCCTTGCAGTCTTCCTTCAAGGGGGTCTAGAAGCATCTTCTTAGGGCCTGGGAAGGGGGAGTGTTCTATACCAGGGCCAAGATCTAGAACCCAAGAGGCCTGCTTCTGCCTATTGCTGTGTCCTCCACAGACAGAAATATCTCTAAAAAGCTGCTCCTGGGATTCTGTAGTTCAAGTCCAGGTGACCTCAGAAGCAGGGTAGGCCACCTAAGGGATGACTTGGAGGCTGCCCCCATCCCACCGAGAAAAACAGTGGGAGGCCAGAGATGGTCTCAAGCCACCTCTGTCCCCCCAGAGCTGGAAGTCCTTCAGGCCAGGCACTGATTTTTTATTGGGTAGTCTTGTTGCCAGCAGGCAGCCCTGGACTCAGGCCCTGGGGTGATGGCCAGTTCCCTCCCTTGGTTTGTTGTCAACCTGGTTCATACATATGGAGGCAGAGGGAGAGGGGAGAACGTTCCTGGGCGCCCAGACACCAGAAGGAAGGGAAGGAAAGAAGGAAGGCTGAGCACAGTGGCTGCTGTGCTGCTAGAGCTGGGCCCTGTGAGGCTCTCGGGGGCTGTTCAGTGAGGTGTGAATGGCGGGGGCAGGTGCTGCCTCGGCAACCAGCTCTGTCCCCACTCCCCCGGCCATGGTTCACTCTCTTCGGCATCAGATTGAGTCATCTGTCTTGCAGGGCTTGGAAAGGGCTAAAGGAAGGCTTTCCCATTTCTTTCTAAAACCTGATCTTTCTCAACCTCACACACTGGAATTTTTCCCCAGCTCTCCTTCAGTCTGAGGTCCCTGATCCGCTGCCTATGAGGGCATCTGTGGTGAGTGCTCCCCTCATCCACATTGACCACATTTCAGAAGTGGTGTCTGGAAAGGGAAACTGTCTGACCCCTGATTCCTGTGAAAGAGGCCAGGAGCTAGTCCCTGTCTCTTCCACACACTCCTTCCCATTGTGACAGCCATGGGTGGCTACTTCTTTCTGTGGCAGAAGCCAGGCTGGTTTCTCCCCACCTAGGAGTAAGTTACGTGCTTCCTGGGAAAATCCTGTTATGTGTCTTGCAGGAGTGCATCCTATGAGTCATTTCTGCCTTTCTGATTCCCTTCTGATGATCTTCTGTGGGGTACAAACAGCAAACGACACCTTTTTTTTTGTTTTTCAGTTACTGACACTATAGGTTTTTTGGGAAGCATGTTGATATATTCAAACAAGAACCTTCTTTGAGTATGACTTGCCTGCAACCCGAGCAAGCGATAGGGAGACAGGACTAGGATCTTAGAAGCCAAACCCTCTTCTCCCTTCCCGCCAGACCTATTCTACACACATGGTATTGACTTCCCTTTTCCTCTCTCCGGCACAAGCTCAAGGAAGGTTCTGTTGAAAATATCTCCTAGCCGGGCTCGGTGGCTCAGCCTGTAATCCCGCGCTTTGGGAGGCTGAGGTGAGTGGATTGCCTGGCCCGTGGGTTTGAGACCCGCCTGGGCAACTTGGTGAGACCTCATCTCTACAATAAATCAAAAAATCAGCCGGGTGTGGCAGCGCGCACCTGTAGTTCTGGCTACTCGGAAGGCTGAGGCGGAAGGATCGCCGGAGCCCAGCA